TGCCAACCAGTCACACCCTCCGAGTGCTCCTTGTCATAATCAAGAAATTGAGTGTGTAATGAAATGACTAGCAATTAGTATGAAAAACGTCTGTCAGTATTTGACTCAATGATAAATTGAATTTGCTGACAAGGTCATTGTATCGATCATAAAACTTGCGAAATTTTTACTTTAACGAGACTGCTGATATTCTTGTTTCATCAACTTGTTTGTCAATAATTTACCTCGTTTTAGAAATTGTTCATACGTAGATCATGCTTTTGCGCATCGAATCAAATGAGGGATAGAAAGTCCGTTGCAGGTGACAAAGGCATATTGCTGCATAAGTAAGGGAAGTTGACGATGGAAAATTTAAAGTCATCATGTTTATCTTAGAGCTTGGATGCTAGATTACCATTGACGTCTTCTTCAAGTTAAATACCCAAGCAAGAAGCAGATGTGTCAGACTTTGTGGTATCTTTCATCTCAAGCTCACCATGATATATCGTAACGACATAGGAATGGAAATTACCATTGTTAATTGACAATACGTCGTCGATATATCTAATTATAAATATTGAATTGAAGGCCACAGCAAGTGTTTTCTTCTTTTCACGCATAAGATTTTGCACACATTCTGTTTCATATGAATACAAAAAAAGGTCTGCTAATAACGGAGCGCAATTGATACCCATAGGAATTTTAATAGATTGTTGGAAGACCAGGTCTCCAAAAACCACATAGATATTGTCAATCAGAATCAATCAAAAACTCAGGCAGCTTTTTGATGTCAACTTCAGAGTACTTGTGTGTGCAATCATAATGTGTTTTGGCAAAATAATTTTGCAAATGACCAGTGACCATGTAAGTGAATTTACGAGTTCCATTTTTACTGAAAAATCAGTTGTTAATGATATCAAAAAGCCTGGACTTTAATTTATCGTGGGGAATGGTTGTGTGTAAAGTTGAAAAGTCGTAAGTTTTTAAGCTGTCGATTTTGTTAAAATCTTGAGATTTCAAATTGTCCAAAAGTCCAAAAAAAAATTATGAATCCACATCTGATTCACACCACTTCTTGAATATATTGTTGCACAGTACTCTTGAATTTTTTTCTTTACTTCTGTCAATATCTTAGTGAGGAGTAAAAAAGGAGGCTTTGTTGAACATTTACTGGAACCCGCAATGTATCTTTGTTTGTAATGACTCTTATGAGGTTTCGGAATCCAATATATACATGTATATGGTAATTCAAATTCATTTTAGTTCTTCGGGATATCAAAAATATTCAAAACTGACATATGATTTTGAAGAATTTCCTCCTTAGTAAGGTAACTATAAGTATAAGTTGGATTACCCATTGTAGAACTTGAAAAGTCGTAATTTTTTAAGCTGTTAATTTTGGTAAAATCTTGTGATTTCAAATTGTCCAAAAGCTCTTTGGGATTTTTAAGTATCCACATCTGATTTACACCACTTCTTGAATATATAGTGTTACACTGAAGTTCTCCTTCATTACTGTTAAAATCTTAGTGAGAAGTAAAGAAAGAGGTTTGGTTGAATATTTACTTGAACCCGCTGTGCATCTTTGTTTGTAAGGATTCTTATGAAATGTCGGAATCCAATATATATATATATATATATGTATATACTTCCATATATATATATGATATATATATATATAGGATATATATATATATGCGAGAATTCCATCGGCATCGAAAGCAAGATTTTTTTGACTTGCCTAGATAGCCGAGCGGTCTAGCGCGCTGTTCCTGCGCTGCTAGGAGACAGATTACGAAGGTCGAGAGTTCAACCCCGGTCTGGGGCGGAAGTGGGTATCCATGTAAAAGTGAATCTCTTTGTGCTTTCTATATTAATATCTCTTCACTTAGGGCAGTTATGTTAGTTTAAGAGTTGTTGTAAAATGTGCTTTATAAATATATATATTTCATATATATATATATATATATATATATATATATATATATATATATATATATTATAGAGTTCAACCCCGGTCTGGGGCGGATATATATATATTAATATCTCTTCACTTATATATATATATATATATATATATATATATATATATATATATGGTAGTTCAAATTCATTTTGGTTCTTTGGAATATTAAAAAAATCAAAACTGATATATGATTTTGAAGACTTTATTCCTTGGAAAGGGAACCATGAATTTAAGTAGGATTGCCCCTTGTAGAATTATATCTAATTTCTTCTAAAATACAATTTATATAATGAGCTTTTCAAACGAAGACAATGTTGTTACTTGCTTTGTCGACAGGAATGAATGCATTTTATTTTACAAGCAAAGAAAACAATTTGATATATACTAATTTTAAAAGCAACGCTTCACTATGTTTTCTAATGTGAACAAGATGGGTATGATGGTAAATATAATCTTTACATGTACCTAATATTTTTAATTTTATTGTGAAATAAAAAAAATTGATCTTTCAATTAACCATATCAAACTTTCTTCACATAATGATTAGACATAATATTCATTTCTGAAAAAGTGATTACTTCATACTTAAAGTCATATATGGCGTATTTTGATAAGTTCAGACTAACAAAAATAAAAAATCTTTTTATTTGTTTTGTCATTTTATATGAAGTGAATGCTTCCTTATAAATAACACAATTTAAATCAATCTCGTTTCATAGATATCCAAGATTTAGGACAATGATATAACAAATTTAATTAACCGACTCTGTAATTAAATATTATACAGGTTAGAGTCAATTTAACTATAGAAACGTGTGGATAATTCAGTTCGAAATCGGTAAAAACTTTAATTTCAGCATAAACAACAGATACTGTAAACCAACGTTTATTCGCGTTGTGTCCAAGGTTTCAAACTCTTCCTTACAAACTCGGGTTTTCCTGGAGTTTGTGTGTAATTGTGTACACATGTTTTTGTTATTTATTGTTTTTTCAAAAACCAAAAAAATATGAATTCCTGACAATGCTATCAACAAACATATCACAAAAAAAATTTCTTAATGTCTATCACGTCGCATAAAAGAGTGCAGTAATATGATTTTTCACTACAACTCATCTGATTTGCCGGTTTAATAAAACAAATTGTTGTTAAACATTCTAAAACAATCATTCTTAAAAAAACACACGATACTCGTATAATAAATAGCTTAAAAATTCTTCTTCTTTTAAACCAATTTTTTTTTACTTATCGCCATTACAATCGTTTTCATGCTGTGGTGAATTTGAGTGTACTCATATCATCATTGTACACAGTATACTTTGTTTCTTCATTCAATCACTAAATTTCCACTTTCTTAGTGCAATTATATTGTGCAGGGTTAAGACAAAAGTATTTGTGCTCATAATATAATTATATACATTATATATAACAACAAAATACTCTCCAGGCACAAGCACCTGTTTCGAAAATAATCTTTTTTAACCCATGACATAAAAAAACACTTATAGTCATGTAGTAATTCGTTTTAGTTAACGTTTTTATTCTAGTAATTGTAACGTGTATTGTTAAAGAAGGGAACATTTTGAAGGGATTGGGGTTAGAACTTCCTTTTGGATTTTCTCTTGTTGAATTATTAAAATTTAAAGAAAAATTCTATATAAAAGTAAAAGTCATATATAAAAGTCATTAAAGATTAAAATAAACCTTAGGATGGTCAATACTCATTTGTCATTAGAATTATAGTTCAAAGGAAAAAAAATCAAAGAAAGTATGAACGATAGAAAAACATGTAAAAAATGACAATCAGAGAGAACTAGTGATCCCGAACCACTTTAAATTTTTCAGACATTAATTTAATTTCAGGAAATGTTTATTGGAAGTACGCTTCCCCCTGTTTTTGTTGCAGTATAGTCAAGTAAGGGTAATTTATGTTTCAGAAAAAAAATTGGTACTGATATATAGTTTATACCTAACCACCCCCACCTCCAGATTCCCATGAATTAGCTTTTTTCGATATTGGTCCATCCCCCCTTTTTGCTTGCTATTTGATCCCCTTCCCGAATTTCGAATACGATTATAAGTCTCAATTTAACACCAGTTATATGCCATTGGGCAGGAAAACGGTGATAAACAGATAGCTTATAATAAGTTTATTCAAAAATCATAATATATGAACAGCAAAAGTGTGTGAAGATGAATTTGATATGTATTTTATTACACCTTCAGTCATGACCATGTATTTTAAGGTCATGTTCGTTATATTTCCGCGAACAAGGATTTCCTGTAATATACATGAAGGTATATAAGTGACAGATTTATTTTTATTCGGAAATAAAATTCTGAGTATATGACAAAGTTAATGAAGCATGACATTTTTAGGTTCACGGGACGTGCTAATTAGATCATAGAAAAATAATTTTCTTTCATACTCAACTACTAATTTAAGTCACAAAACTTATCATTGATCATTTGAAGTATCTCAAAATGTTAGATACGATTTGACGTTTATTAAAAAAAAATTGTGACAGTAATCCACGGACTTTCCGAATAAGCCTTGTATATGCTTTAAAATTTTAATATCTTTAGGTTCTGTGATAGTAAAGCATAATTTTGAGCATCACAGAAAGTCTACAATTTCTTGAAATTTAATACATTTGATATTATATTCATCATTAATTTACAACAAAAATTTTAAAAACAATGCAAAAAGCATCCGTTACATTCATTTTTGCTTTTAAAAAGCTTGTGACACGTGCTTTACTTAGAAAAGAGCTAGCTCGGTAATTTTAAAATTAGAGAATGTTCTTTATTTCATTAGATAAAAAATTACCTCTTCGATGCATTGAAACTATAAGTATCAATTTAAGATTTTTTAAATATACAATTTCTTATATATTTTATTACAAATACAAAATCAAAATTGAAACTTGAATAGCAGTTTTCTTGTAGTTTGTTGGATTTCTTAAACATTAAAATTTATACCGTGGAACTTTCTTTACTAGTCATGTGCTATATACATAATATAGGGTTGTTTTAAAGTTTCCATTGACATACCTTGTAATTCACGTGCTCTACATTACCTACATGACTACACGTGCGACAGCTTTATGTAGGATTGTGTCAATTGGAGGTGATTACCTGCCCCGGTCAGTGATTAGTGATGTCGGATTTACACATCATTACGCGCATCTCTCACCTAGATTCTCACAGAAGTCCACGTGTAAATCCGAAATGTTCCGCTACAGAAGGAAGTTCTTAATGTAAGTATTGATAAAATTCTCTTTCATAAAAAATAATTGTGCAGTCATCGTGAATTAATATAATGTTTCGTATTACATTGTATATTGATTTGAAATTCAGAATTCAGAAGGCAATCAGTTGTTTGAAAATGATCAACGTTCATTGATCAATCAGTTTAAGTTTGTTGACATAACAATTTTCTTTTTTCTTCTTTAATCAGAATTTGACAAACTCTGAAATTCAATTAAGGGGTACCAACCCTCTGATAAGACATATAACTTTCAAAGTACAAAAAGATGAATACTACTTACAATTTTCTTAATCAGAGTTTCCTAAGTGTGAGCCCTGAGTGGTCGATTCGGTGAAATCTAACATATGATGAGAACATTACTTTCTATTTCTTTTGCCAATTTCTTTGAAATTGTTTTATTATATTTAACAGTAAAACATTTAAATTCAACTTCGAAAGCCTTATAGATTGAATAAGTTGTATCTTTTTAAGGACCTTTCTAAAAATGGTTTAATGTTTCAAGTAGCATTTTTATTAGTATGACATTTCTTTTTACATGAAGAAATATTTAGAAGAAAGATTACTCCTCCTCACAGATATATTTTTTTCTTACAACCACATACAACATTGTGATTTTCTGACTTAGGAAGCATCGCTTCATGATGTTTTCTAACATGACTTTAATAGGTAGGATACAGTATTATTGTCATATGCACCTCAGATTTCAAATTTAATGCTGTGGCAATAATTCGTTACTCTTTCTGTTCTCTGTGTTCAATTTCTTCATATCATGATCTGACATAAAAATCATTTCTGAAAAAAAAAACAAGCAGCGCTTCATACTTCAAACTATTTTCCATGTGGCTTTAATGTTATTGTTGTTTATGAAAATAATATTATAAATTTTAAATTTTTTAAAGTGAAATTTATAGCAGAGGTTCCGGACCGCTTAACTTACAATTTTACAAAAAGTCTCAAAAGCCTCAAATAATTTCAAGTCGAGTGCCTACCACCTATTGAAAAATGTTAGGGAGAGGGTTTAAGTTAGATGTAATGAGAATTAAGAACAAAAGTTAGTTATTAGGTATTAATCGAGAATTAATAACTCTTTTACAGTATTTTTAAATTGTGCGTAATAAAATGTTCAAAGACCTAGAAGTTTTTATGAACAGAAACCACGATTTCTTACTTTTAGGGGGTAAAATGTAATTTAATTGCACTTATAAAATTCATTTTAATTAAGAATTTTGAATAAGAACAGATCACTTTAAATAGGGCTGAAGTATTTTCTTACAATGTAAGAAAGACAACTCCAATTCAAAATATGTTATTTATCAATTTTTGGGGTAATATTTAAATGAAACAAATGGAGATAACGAACAGTATTCCAGATCAAGAGTCCATAAAACAATATAAAACAGGAGCACAGCAAACATGGACATCTAAAACATCAGAGGTTGGATCAGGTTCCATGGAGGAGCCGACCAGTCACATCCGCCGTGTGCTCTTTGATATGATCGGGAAATAACGGAAAATCCGTCGTCCATTTAGTGTAAAAATAATGATCCAATAATTAGTATAAAAAACGTCAGTATCATTTGACTCAATGATAAATTGTATTTGCTGACAAGGTCATTGTATCGACCATAGAACTTACAAATTATGATTTTACACGAGACTGCTGATTTCTTGTTTCATCAACCTGTTTGTCAATAATTTACCTTGTTTTAGAAATTATTCATACGTAGAGTATGCTCTTGCGTATCTAATCTACTGTCAGATATGTAAACTCCGTATGCAGGTGATGAAAGTATATTGATGCATAAGAAAGGGAAATTGTGGATAGAAAAGTTAAATCTTTTATCTCAAGCTCACCAGAACTTATCATATCGACATGAGAATGGAAATAACCATTGTTAATTGACAATACTCACCAGAAAACCATATCATATCGACATGAGAATGGAAATAACCATTGTTAATTGACAATACGTCGTCGATATATCTAAATATCGACTTGATTGCCACAGCATTCTCTTCTCTTCTCTTCACGCATAAGATTTTGCACAAATTCTGTTTCATATGAATAAAAAATTAGGTCTGCTAATAACGGGGTAAGATTTTGCACAAATTCTACTTCAATGAATAAAAAATTAGGTATGCATAGATATTGTCAATCAGAAAGCATCTTTTTGATGTCAACTTCAGAGTACTTGTGTGTATAATCAGATTATTTTTAACAAAATATTTTTGCAAATGACCAATGACAAGATAAGTAAATTTTTGAGTTTCATTCTTATTGAAAAAGCAGCTGTCAATGACATCGAAAAGCCTAGACTTTAATTTATCGTGGGGAATGGTTGTGTAGAAAGTTGAAAAGTCGTAAGTTTTTAAGCTGTTGATTTTCGTAAAATCTTGTGATTTCAAGTTGTCCAAACGGTCTTTGGAATTTTTAAGAACTAGTATCCATATCGGATTTACACCACTTCTTGAATATATTGTTGCACAGTACTCTTGTAGTTTCCCCTTCAATACTGTTAATATCTCAGTGAGGAGTAAAGAAAAAGGCTTGGTTGAACGTTTACATGTAACAAATTAAACACATAACAATACAAATTAAAGTGTTGTAAATGTGTTCGTAAATTTAAGGAATTACTGTTTACTTTGTTAAATATGCCAGCGACTTCAACGATACTTAATATTTACATTTCTACTTGTTTTCCCTTTGAAAACTCTTTGAAAGTTAGATAGGTGATTTTTTTAATAATATAACCTGAATGTAAATTTTGCCAAGCAAAAGGTAAGAGCTAAGGAGGCCTAATATCATGTGAATCTCGTGTGACTGACTTTGTGTCTGAAGTAAGTGGGTGGGAATTTGACATTGAGGGCTTGCGTAATTCAAATATTAAGATTCTATATTTATAAGTTTATTTCACACTTAAATGTAAATATTAGGAATCACTTTCTTATTTATTGGGCATGCGAGCAACATTAACGACAGTTTGAAACGTGGTAGATATAATTAATGTAAGTTTACCAAAGTTTCCAGCTATCATTGATACCCTGACATTCCCAACAAACTGGACAGTGATTCCTTAAGTTTATCATAAAGATGTAGAGTCTTTTCTTAGGCTGATCTTTATTCTGATCTGTGCATGTATATTGTATCATCCCTGCATTCTTTAAGTTGCCTACATGTTGTTTTGTTAGTTCTTTATAAAATATGTTTTATTTACAGTATCCCTTATGGTATGTCACTCGTGGTTATATCAAGGATTTTTTGAGAAGTATATCCTGATTACTTTGGATAAGTACTCATGTAGTATGACTCAAAATCGCAGAGAAAAGAGGGGGTCGGTGTGTATCTTACTGAGATACGGTACAATTAGTTGACCTTTTTTGCACTTAAATTTCTAACTCTTTGGTTAATCACTTTAACATTTATCATACTCTATCTAATGTAATCATGCAATAAATATAATCTTATTTTAAGTAAAATGGTTGAATAATATTTATCATGAAACAAATTTTGCAACTTAAGCGCTAAAATTATTGTTTGACCTTTTTGCACCAAAAAAGGAGCATATCTTGGGTATTAAAAATCTAAATAGGCAATAAAATATTTTCTTTATCGAACTTTTTACGACTTAAGTGCTGATCAGTCACAAGTATCGAATAGTTTAAAATAATGAAAGAAAAAGTTAGGGTGAATGATTTAATTTTTGAAATATTGGTCAAAATATGCGATTTTATGGCAAAAATATCTTCATTTCTCGGCAAAGTTTGTTGAGAGAAGGTGTTAAATTTGATATCAAAATGTAAATTGAGACCTTTCAAAATTCCTAGCACATCATAACGGAAAATGTTCTCTTAGTAAAAGTATGTAAGGATTATGGATAAAGTTCCAAGATATCAAATTTAATAAATGTGTAGATTTACAGAATTATTCTACTTAATATCCTTCCACCACAATAAAAAGTCTCTCATATATGTTGCATCTTTATGAATTTTTGAGCAGTTTATTTCATTCATGAATGTTGAACATCGTTTCATTTAAATACTAGCACGTTATAAAAATTGAATTTTAATAGATAGTTTTGAAGTAAAAGGTTCTGTCTGAACTTTTATAAAAAGCCGACGAGTGATATAGCTTAATTTAATTTCTTTTTTAATTATTTAATAACTTAAAACTGTACTCATAGAGAGAAATAAAGTGATTCTATCAAAAGGAGTTTTCTTCATTATTTTTTTTTTTTTGCACTTTAAAAATCCTTTGTAAAAAAGGTAGAGTGGTATTATTTTGTGAAATTTTAAAATCGCGATGATGATGATTTAGGTCATATTTAATCAATAGCTATTAAAAGTATCAGTAAAAAATATTGGTCGATATCAACATAAAAAGTTGGTAGATTGCAATATGAAAATTGTGGTAACACAAACAAATGGACATTAAGGGCTAAATTTTTTCCGGGGCAGTACTTCTTTCATAGGGTCAGGCCCCTCTAAAGGTCTTTTAGAATAGAACTTCGGTAATGACGACCCCGTCTTAATTTATAATTAAACGGAAAACAAAAGGTAATGAATTATAAATGTACCCCCTTCACACATTCCACAACTCGGTATACCGTCTGATATAGCCCGTCTACCTGGGAAAATCTTGTCGTAATTTCTCCTCGTGGTGTTATCGATTTCAGAACAAGCAACACAGCTGTCGACTTTTGATCGTATTTTTACCATGTTTTAATATCTTTTACGACATACACGTGGGTATAATTGTTTTCTTACTGATTGAACGAAATCAACGGATGTCTTGATGGAATCATCTTCTCCATCATCTTCTTCAACGGAAGAAATTCTTTAAATTTTCTTCATCTTTCTCTATCAGAGTTTGATGGACATTTATTTCCGGTGGATATATTGATAACAGCGATTGAAAATTCCTTTACCTGTGAGAGACAATAATCAGAGGTACCCCTCCTCTATATTAAGAAATCAATATTCTTTTTCGGG